ATCATCAAAATCTCGAGATAAATATCTGACCCTTGAGCCAACATTCTCCCCCTTTTTGATGATGACAAAACCAATAAATTTATCAAACATAAAACATGTGCTCCCCTTAAATTTATGCATGTCAATAAAATATAAGTTCTAAACATGACATATGTTCTATCATAAAGCATGTTTAGAACATGTATAAAACTCCTCCTGAGTTAGTGTAGTAAAGCAACTATGGGGACTTAGAAGAGAAAGTAATTTTAGAAACTGATATTAGAACATACACATAGAAAGAAAAATTTTAAGTTCTAATAATCAGAGTAATAAGAATAGAATAAAAACTGACATTAGAAATAGAACAGAAATCTTAAGTCTAACTTGCAGAGCATAAGTTAGAACAAGAATCTAAGATCTAAAAACTAACCAATCAGTTCATCATGTAAAACATATAGCTCACAAAATAACATAGATTAGAAAATACTAAGCAATAAGATGTAAACGCAAGTAAGATGTAAAACCACTAAAGTTACCACATATTAGCAGAAGTACTTATAACTCATCAAAAAATATCCTGTGCTCTCCCCCTTTTTTGTCCCCCTTTTTGTCATCATACAAGAGGGTTAGTAAATAAAATAGCAAAAACAAATAAAAAACACAACCAAAAAAAAATTTGTTCACAAAATATAGACTGATAAAGTAAAGAAAATAAATCAGAGGGATTTGGGGTCAGTTCTAAGCCTCTTAGAACTTCTGAGATTTTGAGCAGGAGCAGTTTCAGTGGAACTTTCTGGATGCTTAGAAGAAGGGTGCAGTGGAGGCTTGCTTCCATGAAGTTTGAAATGAAAGATATGGGAGAGGCATCCTTTGTGATAGGAATAGAAATATTCCGTGATAAATCACAAGGACTGTTAGGATTGTCTCAAAGATCTTACATTGATAAGGTATCAAAGAGATTCAGAATGGAAAAATGCTCCACAGGAATAGTTTCAATTCAGAAAGGAGATAGGTTCAGCAAAATACAATATCCTAAGAATGATTTGGAACGTAAAGATATGGAGTCTATTCCATATGCGTCAGTAGTTGTGAGCTTAATGTATGTTCAAACATGTACTCGATCGAATATTAGTTTCGCCCTAGGAGTGTTAGGGTGATATCAAAGTAATCCCGGGATGGACCATTGGAAAGCTGCAAAGATAGTACTTAGGTATTTACAAGGCACTAAGGATCATATACTCACTTATAGAAAGTCCAGCCATCTAATAGAAAGTCCCAGCCATCTAAGAAGTGGTGGGATACTGCGAATTTAGAACTATGCCGGTTGTGTAGATTTGAGGAAAGTCTACATTTGGCTACTTGTTTCTCCTAGTGGAGGAGACGCAGTATCAGGAAAAGTGAAAGCAGTCTGTATTGCTACTTTCACAATGGAGGCTGAATTTGGTGGCATGCTTTGAGGTGACTATCTCATGCATTAATGGTTGCGGAACTTTGTCTCAGGGTCTAGGTATTAGTCGACAGTATAGCTAGAACGTTGAGGAATTTACTGTGATTAATTCCGCAGCTGTCTTCTTCTCTAAAGAATGATAGGTACTCTAAGGTGGCAGAAGCACATGGATTTAAAGTACCTATTTGGTGAAAGAAGAAGTGCATAAAACACAAAGTGTCAATTGACCATATCGGTACGATCTGATGATAGTAGTCCCGCTAACTTAAGGCTTACTGCCCAAAATCTTCACTGGCCATGTGGATAGGATGGGCCATTATAGACTAAGTACTTGTGTAGCATGATGTTTAAGCTTGGGTATATATATATAACATATGGTTATTTTGCTCATATTAATTAATGACACTTGGGAATTCAAGTTTAAGATGTGTTTTTGGCTTATTTATGTGTTATCCACATTATGGATGTAATCAATAATGGTTTGGGTGAGATAACAATAACATTGATTGTAACAATGTAATTGTTTTATTGTTTGTTGAATCGTTTCTCGATTACAGTTATTATGGATTAAGATGATCTGTGATGTATGGAAGGAATCATGTCGATTAATGACTTGTAACCGCCATAATTTGATCACTTTAATTCTAATTAAGGTTAACATGATAGATTCAAGAAATGCACATGGGCCAAGTGGGAGATTGTTAGGTTATTTTAATAACCTGAGTGGCCCATGTAATTAAAGGGATGGTTCTGTTGGCTCAAGGGTCAATTTCTAATCTCGGAATTTTGATGATTAAAACAAAATAAATAAATTTAAATTATATTATTTGTGCTAATATTATTTTATTTTATGCAGATCTTATGGAAAGAAATCAGAAAAGGCAAGTCCTACATTATGTTATGAAGATATTCGAAAGACACCTAGTGGATTAGGTATTTAGGATGCAATTGTAGGATAGAGAGAAAAAAATTCAATCTATGAAAAGCACAAAACTATTTTTTTTCTCTCATCAAAAATATTTTTTTCGGAAATTAGATTTCTTCAAAAAATAATTTCTTTCGTAAAAAATTATGTTTTCGAAAAATATGCTTTAAGAATCGCAATGATTAATTACCTAAATAAGAAAAGATTTTTAAATCTCTAAACGATTTTGGTAATAAAATCATACACTTTCTCTTTTGGAAATACCTTTTGGAAGATATAAAAGAATTTCAACGTATACTCTTAACCTAAACTGAAGGTAGATGTATCTTTTCATTTTTAGTAAGTAGTATCTTATTCGAAAAATTATTTTCCAAATATAAGTGCTTTCCGAAATATCTTTTTGCTTAAAAGGAAAGATTCACTCTTTTATTCTTCTTACCAAAAGGATAAAAATAAATTTTTTGGTAACTACGATTTTTCGTATCTCTAAATAAGAAAAGTAAATATTCTGATTTCAACTGAAATATCCACTTTCCAAAAGCAAAGAAGACTACGAAGCTCTCTATATCAAGGAATTCTTCACTCTTTGAAACGTGAGGAAGAAAGAGTTTTTCGTTTTAAAAGAGTATTCACTTATTGATCACATCTTTTATCTCCTCAAACTTACTTCTCTACCCCACATTTTTCCTTTTCATCTTTACACTATCACGTTTTTATCTTTAAAGTGAAAAGAATTTTTTTTTTTTATAACTACTTTTGAAAACCTTTGAAAAACAGTTCTGTTTTCTAAATGATTTTCTAATCTGAAAAATTGTTTTTCCTGTGCTTATATTTGCATTTCTGTCTGTCTGTTTAGATTCTATAATCTTTAGTAGACAGGCTTTTATTTGATAAACATTTGTGTAATAGCTTAGGTGAGAAGCTATTATGAAAGAGGTTATCAACCGACCTTCTCCGTGAGAGATATTCTAATGTCTTGAATTGAGTTTCTGTACTCTGCCAAAAACAAAAAGGGTTGAGGTTAGCTAGAACCTTTGGAAAATCTAGTGGGATAAAGGGTAGATCTAGGTGTTGATCTATTATCTTGTACTGTTGGTTTGTCTCTTACCCTTGAAAAAAAGAGATAAATAGTTGAGGATCCTCAAGATTGAGTCTTGGGGAGTGGATTAGGCGAAACCACTATAAATCACTGTGTTGATCTTTTTAAATTTCTGAAGTTTTGCTTGATACTTCTTTATTTACACTTCTGTTTATATTTTAGAAATGCTAAAGTTGTTAACGATTATGATGTTCTAAAACTGGAATAAGTCTTATCTTCTCTGAATATTAGAACTCTAGAATTCTGATAAGTGAATATACCAAGTTCTAACTATTCTTCTATTCACAGTATATTTCACTACTTGGGTTTGTAATTAATTTTCTAAACTTTATGAGGAAGTTCTAATTACAATAGCTTTCCATCATAAAGTAGTTCTAATACTTGATTAAGGCTTTGTGAAGCAGTTCTAAATTCAATAACTGTCTCTCACACCGTCTTATATGATTTTCTAAACTTTATGAGGTAAAGAAGTTCTAAGATATTGAATAAGACATTGTGAAGCAGTTCTATTAATAGCTGCACTTTGCATAAGTCTTTCCTATTCTTTATAATAGAATATTGTTGAGGAAGTTTCCTAATCCATATTTCTATTCTCACAAGTCTTTGTTTTCCCGCTGCACTTTAGAATTCTATATTTTTGTTTTAAAAATTCTAAATATTTTTTTAGAAAACCCAATTCCACCCCCCCCTCTTGGGTTGTGGCCATACATATTAGCGGGACCCACAGGTTCTAAAATTAAGGTGGCCCATAGAATGATGGTTATTAGGCTTAATGGGAAGAGGACAGTTAAGGGTTTTAATACCCTTCCTCTGCCTTATAAAAGAGAAAGTAAATGAACAGCGTAGGTTCCCAATTCACCCCCCCTCTTGGGTTGTGCCATACATATACGGGACCCACAGGTTCTAATTAAGGTGGCCCAAGATGATGGTTATTAGGCTTAATGGGAAGAGGACCAGTTAGGGTTTTAATACCCTTCCTCTGCCTTATAAAAGAGAAAGTAAATGAACAGCGTAGGTTAAGAAAAGAAAACAGAGAGTGTGACGGCTACCTCAAACACATACGGCGATAGGTTGTTTAAGAGAGCGTGAAAAGAAAACTCATGTGCTGTTGATAATTCTCTGACCATTAAGAGAGCACATATGGACAAAAGGCCAGAGTGAAGAAATATAGATCTGCTGTAACAGTGAGAATCGAATTGCCGCAACAAGGTAATCAATAGCTATGGATTAAGGTACGCTTCCGCTTATGTGTGTTCTTATTAAACAAATTCTATGAACTATAAGATCTAGGCTATATAGAGAAAATCCATTTTAGAATACCCGGGCAATCGCTGGCAAATGGCTTGATTTTTCTATATGAGGGGACCAATGAGAAGTTTTTAGATATCCTTAAAAGTACCCATCTAGTTGAGCTGTACATTAAGCATGCACTGGAAAGGGACAAAAATGTAAATGCACACCAAAAAGGCAATTATGACAATTTGTTTGACCTAGCTAAGGTGGACACACTGATAAAGGCAAAGAGGTGGGTGGGTCAAGCTTTTAATATAAAAGCAAGATTGAGCATACTGTTGATGGGAAGAGGCTAGGGATATTGATGATATTAATGAGAGTTTTAGAGTGTTTGGAGAGGAAGTATTTAATGAAGCTGCTGAGGTTGATGGGTTATTTGATGTTAGTGTAGAAGGTGAGAATCTATTTGGTGCATTTGTTACGAATGAAGATGTGGTAGAGGGAACAAACTCAGATGAAGATGTGGTAGAGTATGAATGGATGTCATGCGATGATGCGGAATTGCAAGAGGCTAGGGATGCAGTGAATAAATTTAAAAGCAATCCTAGAAAAGCAAAAGTTGAGAAGAATCCTAATATCCAATAAAGCGTCGTACCTGAAGACCTTTTTGGGTATGATCCATAGGCTGATGAAGAAGTTGTACAAGTAGGCTTAAGCAAAAGAGACAAGTTTTCAGTATTCAGACATGGAAATAGTAAGGTACATTTCTCTATCGGCATGTTATTTAACAAAGGAGATCAATTTAAGGATGCAGTAACACAATGGGTTATAGAAAATAATAGAGATGTAAAATTCATAAGGAATACCAAAACATAATTTAGAGCTAAGTGTGTGAAAAAAAAAATTGTCCTTAGACCATATATGCGTCTAAGGAAAAAAAAAAGAATGATATTCAAGTGAAAATCCCTTATTGATAAACACACATGTTCTATTTCATATAAAAATAGGAGGGTTACTGCTAAGTGGTTAGCTAAAAAGGTTTTACTTAAGTATAAATCTATCGAGTCCATGAAATTAGTTGAACTTAAGGCACAGTTAAAAGAGGATATCAGTGTAGAAATTAAGTTGTGCAAATTGAGAAGAGTAAAGTTACTATATCTGTCTACAATGTTGGTGATACTGAGGGTGAATATGCCAAATTGCAGGACTGTCTAGGTGAAGTGAAAAGATCAAATCCCTTAAGTACAATTGAGATGAAGGTTCAGAGGCTTATATTTGATGAGATGGTTGTTTGTGATAGACTATATATTTCATTTGCTTGTTGGAGGAAGGGGTTTTTAAGCGAATGTAGGAGGGTAATTGGTCTAGATGGGTCATTTCTGAAGGGAAAAATAAAAGGTAAAATTTTAGCAACTGTTGGAAAGGATGGGAACAACCAGATGTTCCCAATCTGTTGGGCTGTTGTCAAGGTTGAAAACAGCAATACTTGGAGTTGGTTTATTGAGATATTGAGAAAAGATCATGCAATTGGTGAAGGAGATGGATGGACATTCATTTTTTATCAACAGAAGGTACATTTCCATTTTTGGTTGTGTTTACATTTATGCTTTGATTCTATTTCCAAACAATATTTGTTTAGTGTTTCCATTTATTTTTTGTTTGCTATCTTTTATACTTTGAGATTTTTACCGTTATACTGATTGTAATTTAGGGTTTTTTAAAGGCTATGAGAGAGCAGATGACCAAATCTGAACAATGATGTTATGCTAGACACTTGTACGCCAACTAGAGTAAGAAACACAAAGGTTATAAATTACATAGGTTGTTTTGGGCATGTGTAAAGTCTTACAACATGTCTGATTTTGAGAAAAACATGATCTAAAAAAGCTATCACCTCAGGCCTTTGAATCCATCCTTAGCACACACCCAAGCTATTAGTGTAGGGCCTATTTCACTATCAGGGTGAAATATGATTTAGTAGATAATAATCTATGTGAGATCTTTAATGGGGAAATATTTGAGCCTAGGTCTAAAAATTATAGTTTCTATGTTAGTGGATATAAGGAGGTTTGTAATGGCAAGATTACATCAGAATAAGGATGCTACCAGTAAATGGATAGGAGAGTATGGCAATAATTAATTAGAAAAAAGTTGTATTTGAACATAGTTGAGAGTAGATTGTTTCACCTTGTATCTAATGGTGAGAAAGGGTATGAGATTTAATACAAGGGAGATACTCATGCAGTTGATTTAAGGAGACAAACTTGCCCTTATAGATCTTGGCAAGTATCTAGAATTCCATGTCAGCATGCAATGTGCGCACTTCTTAATAACGGCCTCAATCCTAATGACTATCTGTCTGGATGGTATAGGAAAGGGAAATATTTAGAAGCCTATTCAACTATGATGGAACCTATGAATAGTGAGAAATTTTGGAAGAAAACTGGCATAGAGGGTCCTTTACCCCCACCAAATGAGAAGAAGCCAAGTAGGGCACCAAAGAGTAATAGGAGGAAAGAAGAGGGTGAAATTTCAAGTGGCCATACATTTTCAAGAAAGTTAGAGTGATGACTTGCTAGACATGTTTTCAAGTTGGTCATAATAGGAAGAATTACAAATTGCTGAAAAGTTAAAATGCAGCTTATAGTGCTTCTGCCACCATTTCTTCACAGTCTCAACCTATAGAAAGACCTTCTAAGTTGCAAATTAGAACATAAATGTCATTGATTATTATTAGCATTTTTTTCTCTTTTTAGGATACTGTTATGAGCATTCTGTCTCTTTTTTGTATTGCAGCAAAAGGGTGGAAAAGGTCGATAGCAGACTGCGCAAGAAATAAATCCACCATCTCAAAAAATTGCAACAACATCAATTGATCTAGACTTGTTTTTTAATGCCTCAATATCATATTCTTCTCTAAAAAATAAGAAAAAAGTGAGAAAATCACTAGCTAGATATGGTGTATACATTGACTTCACCACATGAACAGTAGCTCTCAATATATGCTATTTTTATAAATGTCTTAGAATTTCTTTTAAATTCAAAGTTCTCTTTAATGTTGTTCATTGTACAGCCTAGAAATACTAGTGAAGCCTCATTTCAAACTAAAGAAAGCAAGGGAAATGAGAGAAAAATAGTAGGAGATGAGCCTGAACCTAGCTTTATGACAAACAAAAAGGAGGGGTTTATGAAACAAGAGAATCACTATATAACAAGAACTCAATTGTAGGTAATGGATTTATGATTTGATTAAAATTGTTTGAAGTTTAATTCGAATAAATTTCCATTCTTTAATTTAAATTGTTTGAGAGTTTGATTTGAGGAAAAATATGACTGAAATGACTTGTCAATTTTGAGAGTTTTATTTGTTGTCTTCAATGATAAAATAGGCCAAGAGACTGAAAACGCAGCATAGAAGTACATCAGCCCCTAATGAAAAGAAAAAAAGGCAGTAAGGGAAGTATAGAATGAAGGGCAAAGTGAAGCAATTGAACTCAGCCAAATATTGCCAATACATCAATCTGGAACATCAAGAATTCTCTAAGATGGAGAAGGTATTTTTTTATGCTTTTGAGTTGGGAAAGATGAGTCTGAGATGGAGCAGATGCTTTATTGTTTTATTTTTTTTGTCATTTGAATTAGGAATATTTAATGTACTATTGTATTTCAACAATAGTCACATTAGGACAATCTATGTTTCAGTTTTTAGCCAATTGTATATTGGATTCTTAGTTGACATGCTGTGTATATCCCAAACTCTATCTTTTGTTCCCTTAAATTTAAGTAATGAAATTGGATTTGCTATCTTTATGTAGCAAATTACTTTTATATATATTTCAATGAGCAATCTGCTATTTCCTAATTTTCTATATATGTTTTCTATGTAGATATTTATTTACATAATTTTTCAAGTCCAACAGCTTTTTTTTTGTTCTTTTTAGTTCATTTCACATAATAAAAGGAATGATATGTTAGAGACATTGAACACAATGACAAGCTATGAAAAAAGTGCATTTTCATTCATTACATTAAACTCAGCCCCACAACATGAAAGTTAAATACATCTCCCATCATTCAGACATTTCATCAAACACATTGTCTACAGAAACCATACTTTTCCATTCAACCAAAACCTAAGTCAATACAACACTACAATTTTCACACATTCATCCATTCATTACAATCCATCATCCCTAACTCAGTCAATTCACAAAATACCCAAAATCTCGCAACTCTCATTCATTTAAAAAATATGATAAGTATTAAAACTACAATTGCACACCTATAACCACTTCTCCCTTTTCAAGCTCCTTTCTAGATCAGCTTTAAGATCATTTCTCCTCCTCAACAACCCTGTAATTATCCTTTTCGACCTATCACATATAGTTAGATCAAGCCACTGGAAGTATGAACACCCTTGGTTGCGATCAACCAGATAAAGCTCACATGCAACGAATCGTCGTCTTAGATTCAACTCAGTTCATGACGTTCGTTGAAGACATGGCATTCCACATCTACAGAAGCGAGCTTCAATCTCCATTGAAGACTGTCACTTTTTCTTTCACAAGCTCTAAAACTCGATTTAGGTTTGCAAAAGGAATGAAATTCCTCTTTTAAACGCACAGCTTTTGGGTAAAAGAAAGTGAAGGCAAAATGATAACTTTCTATCATTTGTCGCGTTACTCACAATTAAAACCAGTCAATAGTGATGTGGCATGCCATGTCAGCACGTGACTAGACTAAAGTAGGCCTCGCTGTTTTATTATTCATCTTTTCGGTTGCCAATTCACAAAGTAAACACCTAATTGCATGATTTGAAATGTTTAGATACCCAATTGATAAAGTTTTCCGTTCATACCATAAATTGAAAAGATTTAAAAAGTTCAAACACCAAAATTGTCATTTATCCTTACAAAAAATGAAGTTCAAGGGCCATAAAATCGATTTAAAGATCAAGTGCCACTATTTTTTTGTCAAAATTTAAAGATTAAATTATATATCCGGTCATCTTTGTATAGAACTCACTGTAGTAGTATTAACTAGTGAAAGCTAAAATTCAAGTCAATTTTTAACTTAAAAATTTATAACAAACAATTTTGCAATATAAAAATTTCAACTGAATGATTCAGTGCTTCAAATTAAAATTTTAAATTTTCAAAAATTGTTGGGTTAGAATCTTAATTGAAAGTTAAGATTGCAATACTTCATGCTCTTGCATTTTTATTTTATTATTATCGTTTCTTGTTCCTCTTCCGCTCTATACTTCCTATCATACTTTGTTTTCATACCATCAAGAACATAAAACATGGTCCAAAGATAATAACTGGGGGGTTTTCCTTTCTTTTGGTTTTAACAAGTTATACAACTGCAACTACATATCGTCCTCCTGCCCAGGACCTATCTCGCAGTGTTATCCTTTAAACGTGCCATTCAATACCAAATTGACCCTACTGATTTCTTGTCTCCATTAGGGTTTTACATGGAAAATTCACAGGCCAGCAAATGGCTAATCACAAAACAATATCATAACTGAAAATCTTACACCATGTTAAATCCCAGACATTCCACTTTCTACAAAGGGGAGAAATATATAATCAAATGTACGTGATAAAATACAACTTCGTTCGTTCAGTCAGAGTCAGAGTCGTGTCTTCTCTTGCTGTGTTTCTTGTGTTTCTTTCTGTCATCTGTATCATGAGAACGCCGTTTCTCACGCCTTTCACGTTTCTCATGTTTCTTCTCCTCAAGTTTTTTCTCCTCGTGCTTCCTCTTCTTTCGGCTGCTTTCACCCTCTGATTCATCTTCTTCAGATTTCCTTGCTGATGAATCAGGCACAACCTCCTTCACTGGCTCAGGTAGAACTTCTTTTTGATTAGAAGGAAGAGTAGTTGGGTCTTCCCAGGGACGGGGCGCTCTGCAATAAAGGAAGTACATCAGTGAAACACCAGAAAGAATCTTGCGAAGACCTTCAAATTTAACCATGGAATTTTCAGTATCAAGCCTATGTATCTCCAAGACATTCATGGATGTCATTTAATTGTCCTAGAATAGAAGTATTCAATGCCTATCTCATCCAACAACAGCATAAGGTAACTACCATAAACATGAAAGACCTGGTTCAAACAGAGTAAAAATTATCCGAGATAACGTTGTAAAATGACTCCTCCATGTCCTTCCCCCTCCAAAGAAAAAAAAATATATATGCTGCCTATTATACACTTGTCAACCATAACATCTAAAACAGGTTATTTGGTTAAAGAAATAATAACAAATACAGGCATCAACATACATTTTTATATGGGAAATCTAGAAAGAAAAATTGATTAACACATATCAATTTTAGGAAATCATAAAGTGTGTTTATCTCTTCCTACAAATACAGACATATTAGCCCTTAACCAGGTTTAAGAATGGAGGTATAGAAACAGATTTTTTTAAAAATGTTTAGGAATGAAATTTATTGCAATTATTAGCAAAAAGATCTTCAAATTTCCAAGTTGAAGAAACGCAGGTTTCTTGCCAATAGCTGTCCAATCAGAAAAGCACTTCAGGCTGAGACATCAGGCCCCACAAAAATAATATTCAATAACTTGAAGGAATAAGGCTTTTTTAAGATTATTATTGAAATTAGAAAGCAAATGGTCAATAATTAGAAAGAAATATATACTTTATATGTTATAAGTGTATTTTATCCTACAAATAATGTTATGTTAATTTTGTGGAATTCATTTCCAATTCCATCAATCTAAAGTTATAACCAATTCCAATCTAAATGGTCAATATGCTAAGGTTAATAATAAGACAACTGCATATGGAGAGTTTATATGAACCAATTTCTGTCTTTGAACAAAAAGTTCCTAAAAGTAACACAGGATATTCAAGGAACCCAGATGACTTAAAATGTTTCACAAAGGAAAGCTAAAAGGTGTCATGAGTCTTCACAAGTGTCAAGTGCGTACAATAAATGCTCATGAGAAATGCAAATAAGTTTAACCTATTTCTATGGCAAGCTTGGATATAGTGGAAGCAGAATACATTTGCACCTTCCTGGAAAACAACCAACCACCCCTCGCCCCCCACCCCGGGCGCAAGTCAATTGGGCTGTTGCAAACACAAGTATGAGGCCCAATGCCCCCATAAGGCAGACAAACCATGCATGTAGTTCTCAGCCTCCTACAATCTAAAACTTGAACGAGCAAAAGAAACTTTCTCAATATTTACCATACGAGTATAATGCCCATTTGATATTAATTCACAGCCACCAACATCTTCTGTTCAGATGGCATAATCTATGGACCAACACACAACTACAATCGCATACAAGTCCAAACTCCAAAGACGCTGAAATCATTTAAATGCAAATCCTTAATATTACCAAAAAAGTTGAAAGAAAATCAGCTCTTAATCAATTAAAACTATCAGAAGAATCAACAAAGGGAGAACTATTTCACCAGAAAGGGTTGAGTTTGATCTCAGAAAAGAAAAAAAGCACTTAAAAAAACAAGCTTGGCTCTAGCTCTGACAATGAGATATCTTTTCTTGGTCATCTAGCACTATGCATACTTCTCACCTTCTTCCAGGAGAGGGAATGAGAGGATGAGACTTTATTGTACCACTGGCATCCTAAAATCTATCAAGCAAGTCACAGTATTGTTGTGTTACTGTCACAAATTTGGATCTAGTTACGGGTATTTGAATTAGGGGATGAGGTTTGAGATAATGTGTCTAGGAAGGAGTTTTCTTCCTTCTACCTATGGTGACAGACTTAGAGAGAATCTGCAATCTCCTGGAGCTCGTTAAGAGAGAACTCTACAATCTCTGAGTTTTAGTGACTCAAAACCTTTTCTTACTCTCCTTACATTTTTCCTGATCTCTCAGCCTTTTAAACTAAACTGCCCACTAATAACTATCCCTCGAAAAGACATGAAATGGTTGCTGGGAAACTATTGGCTCTTTGAAGTTCAAGGTTGTTTCAATTTTCCCGAGGTTCCTAAATTATTACTCCTGATAGGTGGCCCTATTAAATCATTTTGAAATGATGGTACTGCCCCTAGGAGATTCTAAACCTGCTGGACCTTTTTCTGTCGATGCTTGGCTATGGCTGCTCTTTTATTGCTGATGTTCTCTTTTGAAATAGAAAAAACATGGGTGAGGGCGTCAAGTTTAGATTTTAGTTCTTCTTCATGTAGGGCTTTGTTCACAGCTTGTCCCTCTAGGAATAATGTTAGGATTCTATCAAGTTGCTGTTGAATAGATTCATCCATAACTTTTGGCTCTGAAACTAAATGTTACTGTCCCAAATTTGGATCTGATTATGGGTCTTTGAAGTAGGGTAACTGGTTTGATATAGGGTGCCTTAGAATGAATTTTACCCATGGTTAAAGAGAATCTGCAATCTCCCAGAGCTCGTTAAGAGAGAACTCTACGATCTGAGTTTTAGAAAGTCAAAAACATTTCTTAAAATGCTGCTAACATTTTTCCTAATATCACAGCCTTTTAAACTACCCACTACAATAACTACCCACTAATAACTATCCATTACAGTAAATAACTTGCTTAACCACCCCGCAAATACCCACTAACAAAGAAACTGATAACATGATAAAAAACCTGAATAACTAAATAAAACTACCTTAAAGACAGCAGTAAAACTACCCTAAGTATAGTTTGCCATGCCATGCCTTAGTGAATAACTTTAGTATGAGATGAGCAAAAATACCTTGAGAAACCAAGACCATCAACACGTGCAGCTTCTGCATGCCCCGCTCCCACATCTTCTGCTGTAGAGCCTCGTTTCACAAGTTCTGAGAACTCATGTTTATCAAGCCGACTTCCCTGAGGCCGACTAGCACGCTTTGGAGCTAACCCAAGCGCCTCCCTCATGGCCTGCTCCTCTTCTTCCTTAATTCTTTTTATCTCTTCTTTTAAAGCATCTGTATTTGAACTCCCAGATTTTTTATCCCTGGCGTACCAGTGTAAATCTTTACCTGTAAATAACAAAGGAAAAGGTTGGGAACATTCTATGGGCATGACTTGGATAATCCTGGCAGTAGATGAGACAAAAAAATATTATGCAAAATGCAGTGATGAAACTACTCTTACAAGAAGCCAGTCAACCGGAAATCACTTCAAGTCGAGCCATTAGGCCCACAACATTGGAGTTTGAATTTACCATCCTTCCTCTGAAAGTCAATATTTCCAGGAATATGGACACATGATAAAACGGCCAAACAGCCACAGACAACAAAAGCCTTCATGAATCTATCCAACCTATGACTCAAAGAAACGTATCAAAATATATGTTTCTATGTGCCTCTTCTGCAGAATATAATCCCAAAAAAGAATAATCTGCAAGAAATTGAGATGGGCTTATTTTAATTTGGGAAAATAATTAATCTGTTCCTGAGGTTTGACCAAACTAACTAACTCGTCCTCGTATTTTATCAAATGATCCCCGAGCTTTACTTCCGTTAAATCCTTCAGTCCTTCCATCCTTTTTTTTTCTGATTGCCGTCAAAATGTGTGAAAAGTAAAAAATAACCCCATAATTAAACAAGAAAAGACAAGAATAGCCTCTAAAATGCTTGTTTTTGTTATGAATAAAATGATGAATTAAACAAGAAAAGACAACAATAGAAACTTTTAACAGTAGCTTTTATAGTCAATTAACTCGTATATATTGGCTACTCTAACTTATGTTTCTGAACTGTTGCCTAGTTCCTCCGCTGGTAAGTCAAACAAAAGCTAAATCCATAACATAGAACAAACTCAAGAATAAATTTAAATTCAACAAATCATTAAATGCATATAAACGATAAAAAAAAAAGAGAGAATTCTGAACAAAGAACAAAGAGACTCATGAAATCGGTATCGGGCACAAAAAATTTTCCATGATTCTGGAATCTTTTTACATGTATGTTAGCAAAATCTGTGTCATGACAAATGGGTTGACTCTTCTCTTGGTTAGAAGCTGTATGGAAAACTATACTAGAAAAAAAATCCAAGATCAAGAGAAAAAGATGAATAAAATGTCAATCAACAAAATACCTCTTTACAGAAGATCACAAGGACCCGAATGAGAGGAACCAACACTCCACTTACTGTCCATCAATCTTCCAATTGTGTTCATAAACCAATCCTCCCACAAGCCACCAAAGAATTTGAACAAAGAACTTATTTCAAACCAAGAATCCTCCAAAGTTGCCTTCTTTTGAAAACCAAGAATCCAACAACCCCAATCTGCAAAATTGCAGCAATACCCACAAGCAGTAATCATATCTTCTTCCCTGTGTTCATTTTGATCTTTTTGCGTTGGCGATGGCGGTGCTTGATGCCTCTTTGAGGCGCTGGACCGCAATGCATGCCTTGGTGGCAGCGGAGGACTGCTTATTGGAGGTGAGATGGAGGTGGAGGTGAAGGTAGAGATCAAGACCAAGACCGAGACCGAGAAACAAGACTGAGACTGAGGTGTAGGTGGAGGTGGAGAGTGTCCGTTGCTAGCTTGCGTGGAGGCAGGATGATCGGATCAGATCTAGCGATGCATTGTGGTGGTTTGCCGCTGTTTGCAGCAGCAGAGTAGGGAGTTAAGGAGATGATAGTAGTCTAGGTTAATTATGTTTTTTCTTGTTTAACTGAGGGGCTATTTTTGACTTTTCACACATTTTAACGTCAAAATCAGAAAAAAAATGGATGGAAAGACTGACAGGTTTAACAGAAATAAACCTCAGGGGCCGTTAATTAATATTAATAAAATACGAGGTTGAGTTAGTTAGTTTGGTCAAACCTCATGGACGAATTAATTATTTTCCCTTTTAATTTTCCAAATACTGTATTAGAGACAACTACCTCATGACAGAGTTTTCAAGATACTTTTAGTTTAAAACCAGAGCTCTTCTGCATTTAGAAAATTGAAATAGGTTTAGTTTAAGGCACATGCAGAAATAAGTTTTTGAGACTATTCAAATTTCAGATCATAACCCTCATTTACACATTCATTAAGATAATTACTAATTTATCAAAGAAAATAGAATAACTTTTGCCTATTAGAGTTTAATAATTCCCATAATATTTAAAACGAGCTTGCATAAATGCTTACTGGTTAAATCAGGATTAAAAGGGAGAAAAATGACAAGAGTGACACATGAACTCAACTATGAATACTTTATATCTCAGCTTACTAAAAACTTGAAAAATAATTGTGAACAGAAGCACTCGGTAGCCAACAGTGAAAGCAAAAAGAAAGATCTGCTCTAAATGCAGCCAATGCATACTCTCTCATGTACATCTCAAATATCTGATAGTTCCATCAAATCAAAGATCCAATAAAAAACTACAAATATGCCAAAGACTCCAGTTTGTCTCACTTTTACTTCCAATTACAAAAATGTTAGGATCACTATATTGCCAAGGCTCTAATAATGATAAAGCAGTGGACATTGAATACCAAGACTAGAAGTTCTGCATTTTAAAAGTGTACAAACATTAGACCAAATCTTTCTCAATATCCAAACTGCACCTCCGCTAATCAACCTTTGAATTCATCTATATAGCCCCCATTTGGAATAAATCCTATTTTGCAGAATGGGATGTTGAAATTAAACATGCAGGACGCATCCAAATGAGTGTCCAATTATAAAATAAAATTTCATAGAAACAGAAACAATGAACTTCCATTACTATATTTCCATATCCAAGCAAGCAGACATCTTGGAAATTCAACAATTTAGTTGGATGGAGATCTCAACTTGACACAGCATAACAAAAGGAAATATTATAAAAGAAAGAACTTTCGTTAAGGAACACTGATTCACTGAGATAATGCAGAAAGATATGCTTGAATCACTCCCTATATAGAAACGGCCTAGATCACTGATACAGAGAGATGCTCTAAAATGTCCACTAAAGCATTTTCAATAAAAAATTTTAAAAAAAAAAAATTCCTTTATGGAAAATGAGAAAAATGAAATTTATTAATTTAATTTGAGAAGACAAATGCCACAATCTATAAAATTAACTAGAAATAAAAAAATGTACCACCTCCACTGCATAAATGCAATTTGCAATTCAGTTGACCCAAAAAGTTATTTGTAGTTACTATATTTCATTCCTTAAGCACAAACATGTGAAAGCTAAAATAGAAAAAGATGCCAAAAACAGAACAAACAGCTTAATCCTTCAAAAATATATGAGCATTTACATGTATCCTAGCACCATTATAATTGATGCAGGACCTAAAGTCTAAAACTGTTCATATTACTGAACTTCAGCAGCTTTCTAATTAAGGTTATTTAAGTTTTAGTCAAACTAGACTTAAAAAAAATCAAACCCTTTTCAATAAGGAATTTGTTCTGGCAGGTTTTATGTTTAGAAGGTGTTTGGTTTGGCTTGTAAGTCAGTCAAATCTATTTTTTTAATTAAAAAGTCATACATAAAATAGCACTTGGCTTGGCTTAAAAGTAAAAAAAAAAACTAGTTATAATAAATCAGAAGTCACAAATAAGCTCATATTTATGATTATCTACTTATTTTTTAAAACTACTCTTTGGCCAAATAAAAGACTATATTATCCTAATAACTTTTAAAAATACCCACATCATTCATGTTTGCAAACCTTTAAACTTCGAAACTAATTAACATACCCTTCCTTTTTTGGCCATTTTGACAAAATAATTTACTATTACGTATTTACTAACCAAAAAACTTAAACTATTTAGAAGTAATTTTTAAGTAATTCTACTAAACACTTAACTGTTTTGTTTTTGAATTGACTTATGGGTCAAAAAATACATTTAATTCAAAAGTTAAGAGAATGTACCGAAACCAAATACCCTCTTAATCCTTATTTTATTAGGATTATAGTTAAGACCTTACTTTAGTAGGATCATACCCCAATAAATTGAGCTGTAATTTGCAGTTCTAAGAGCAGATTTCAGGTTCCAGTATTTTCAGTAATGAAAGAAGTAGTTTATTGGTCTTTATTTTCCTGGTTGTGCCATCAGAACATTCAACCCCTTTTTGGTCGAATTATGCTCTATTAATCCACATTTTTCAATACTCTCTTGTCTTGTCAAATCAACAACCTAATTAGGGTTAGGGTTATTTCTGCTACTTCAGTAATCATTTGCCCCAGATAACAATTTTGTGACCAGAAAGCAAAAATGCAAAAAACAGAACAATCTACAACCACCTCCTAAATCATACATAATATCAAGAATGTATTAAATACAAGATGTTTTACAGCAAAAGAGCAATTTGATTTGCAAAACTAGGTACAAGGTGGCTAAAAAATTCTTATAATGATAGAGAAAGCACACACAATATACCAACAAGAAAATGCAGAGCACATTATGCAGTAGCAAAGTAGATAAATCTGATGGTGAAACGGTAACATTTTTTTATAATGACGAGAGCATACCTTTCTGCCATCTTCCAACTGGGGCCTTAATACTATGACCAAGATAATTCTCGCGATGTTTATCAACCTTAACATCATCCCAACTAAATTCTGCACATAAAAAATTTCTTTGTCACCGTTATCACAAATTCATTGCTTAATATCCAAAGAAAATAAAAATAAATCAATAAAAACGCCAGAAGAACCCTAATTGATTGAATTGAATGATTAGTTCCTAAGAACTTATCAACATTTAACATAAATAGGTTCACTTTCTTTCCTTTATCGTTTTATGAAGTTCAAATTGCTAACTAGGTTAGACATCATCTAGGGAACTGGTTTTTCCTTTTAAAAAAAAAAATTCGAGTTGGAACCACGATAATTCAACATAATAGCAATTGAGTTCTTTATATATAGAGAGAGAGAGAGGGAGAGATCTTACGATCTCGGCCGCCGCGGACGCCACCTCTGGTTGGATGATACATCGTTGTTGAAACTTCTAGTCGAAAGCTGAAAGAAAAAACTCGTCTCTTCAAATCTTCCTGGAAAGGGGTTTCGAAGAAATTAATATTCTAAATGAAATTCTTACTCGGCGTCCCCATAAAATATGAAAACTTCGTTTAAAGAAAAAGAAATTATTAAAGAACAAGAAATTATAAAATTTATATAGAACAATGAGAAATTATCCACTCAATAGTAAAATTGATGCATAATGATTTTTTTTATAGAAAATAATTATTTTTATTAAAAAATAAAGGTGAATAGCCAAAATAAAAAATCTTCCCTTGACATTTTTATTAATGCTAGCGATTTTTTTTTTTTTTATTTTATCCATCTATATCACATAGATTAATTAATTTATATTATGTAGCCTCATCCATCAAAATTAAGTTGATGTACCATTATTGATCGATGAATAGGCCCACAAATATTATTGACTAAGCATTCCACCTCAGCTAGTAAATAAAAAATTAGAAAATTTCATTAGAACATCTCCAATGTGAATTGCTCATCTTTAATTGACACATCAGAAAAATTAAAGTTAAAAATTATATACGTTCTCCAATGCTATTGTCTATTTAGTTTATTAGACTAATGTGTAAAAAAAATAGACACAGTCAACCATATCTCTATTTTTAGAAGACTTATTATATAGCGTAACTTAGTTATTTAATTCATTTTTTCCTATTAATTTTATATTCTTTTTCCACCATCTTTCTCTTTGCACTTGAACTTCTCCCCTCAACCCATTTATTCTTGGCGGTGAAACAAGAAAACTGGAGTTGCATTGTTCTTGTATTTAATAAATTACCAAAACTAAGAAAGCCCTAGTAATTGGACCAGTGAAGAAGCTCCGACCAAGATAACCCTTTCTTTACTCTTCGTTTTTATTCTTTTTGTTCTTTTATTTTAGTTTGATTATTGTTGCATGTTTAGTATTCGTAATCAAATAGCCCAAAAATTAACCTTAAAATTTAATGTAAATATATCTCTCAAGTTCTCATTCTTCACTGTGAAGGGTTTTATGTTTCCTTTTCTTCATTGTGTTTGTTAATTCCATTTTTTTTTTTTTTTATGTTTCTATTACATGTTGCTATCTAAATCATTAAAAAAAACTACAAACTTTATGGGTAGTTTTAATTGTATCCAACTTTCTTTTTCCTAATACTCTTAACTTTAACTTTAGTTACAATAGTACCCGAATTTCAAATTGTATCCAATTTAATAAATAAAGTATTATTTTCGTTGGATCTATGCTTTCTGAATGTAGATCTTAAAGTATGTTTCCTTTCAACTATGCAAAATTAAAAAAAAAAAAAATTCTCTTTCCTAAGTTTATATATGATTTTGATTTTCTTATGTTTATTATGAATATGACAGTGAAATTACATATATTTATTTTCTAATATTGGTTCAGAATTTAAATTCATTAAAATCCAAGGTTTAGTTAGTTAAAAGCATAGAATAGTAATTTAGGTTTTTGTTTTACCATTTTCTAAGCATAGAATTTTAGCTAGGGTTTATTGAAATTATACTTAAGTTAGATCTCTTATAAAAATAAAATTTGTTTATTACGATGTCATTTATTTTTAGAAAATTATTACATTTTACTACGACAACACAACCACAATAGCTTATGCTAAGGATCCAAAGTATTATGGAAAATCAAAACATATTGACACTAGATATCATTTCATTCAAAATATTATTGAACAGGGTCAAATATTCCTTAAGCATATTCATACTCGTAATATGGTTGGTGATCCTTTCACCAAACCAATTATTAGGGACTTATTTTTGAAACACATCAAAGGTTTAGGACTGTTTAGGATTTGATATACTTGTTGTTTGGACATTTTTTATATTATACAATTAATAATGGCAGTGGATATATTTTTTTTTTATTTGCATAATCTTGTGGCACTATTTATATGTATGTATGTATATATAATTTTTTTAATAAAATGTCATTAGATTTTTTGAGATTAGCCCTCTCATATGGGTGATCGCCCTATCGCTAAGTGAGTGAGTATGATGAGACTATAGGGTTTAGTGGGTGCGCAAATTAATATCATATTACTAATGTGAAAGTATGATAATTGGATATTCATGTCGCCTTAAACAAGAGGTTAAGACAAGACAAATTAGATTAGTCGAACATGCAATTTATCCACTTCCATGAAACCTATTTATAGCCGAATTGAAATATTTAAGAAAATACATATGGTATTTATCTTGAAATTATTAGATTAGATGCTCATGCGGAGTAACTAAATATAAATTCATACGGTGTTTTAGCGTGACATGTCCTGAGTGGGAGCTGCACCATAACATTCAAATTTGTGTTGTATATGCTATTTTGCGACCGTTATAGGAGTGATTGAATTGATTCCTATTTCATCACTGTATGAGCCTTAGGATTTATAAAATCCATACATATATACCTTTTAGTAACTTAACACTATGTCATGAAGTGGAGACTTGATGTTTGCTATTTTAGCATGTTATTCCAAGAAGATGATTTATTCTGTCTGATGAAGCATTTCTAAGAAAGCTATCAAGTCTATATGGATTGTCATAAGTAGTTAAGGAAAGACTGATTAATGTTTCACCTATGATTTATGACTCACAGCCTGGGCGATTATATCAGAAATAAATTTGATGTAATCATGAGTACATTGTATAACCGAGAGATCATAGCATGTTCTTTACTATCTTTATTCTTAAGGGATCAGAAATGCTTAATTTGGTGAAAACATACATTTTGGAATATATAGTGAGATATGGAGTTGAAGTGTACAGTTAATTAGGTGGTGACTTAATATAATGCTCCTCAATTTTATCTTTCTCGTCAGGTCGCACACTCCATTTCCTATATGATTGGAGATATATGTGAGAGAGTTTATTTTTAGATTCAGATGTAGCATCCAAATGTGTTTGTGCGGGAGATGTTGTCCATGGGCATAAAGCGCATTTGTACCTACATTGGGATTGCATATTTATCCTAAGATTATACTAGGGTTTTATTAGTTAACTGCCTAGTTAAAAGGCACATAGAATATTAATGCACGATCTCTCCCTTCACTTTAATTATTCTCAACAACCACTCTCTCTAAAATAACTCTCTATGGGTAACCATCAAGAAAAACCTTAGGTTTTGGAGTGTGTAACTATCTGTGAATGACTATAGTGGCCGCTCACATTGACGATGAGTGGATCTTTTATTGTTGTTTGTTCTTAATACAAGAGCGTCCAAGACTAATCATCGGGTTTATAATTTTAAGTGTATCCTACTAATTTTTTATTGTCTCTCCAAAGAGGTATTCAACGGTAAGGATAATTAATACTTATACTATTGTGAAATCAATTTTGGGAACCAATATGTACTCATATGGTTTGCTACTTAACAAAAAAAAAATATATATATATATATTTTTTTATTTGGTGGCATATGGCCACTAACAGTAAAAAGAGAAGAATGAAAAGTTTTTGTTAAACTTTTTTCTATTGTTGCTGGACAATGAAAAATAAAATAAAACAAAGTTTATTTTGTTGTTTTGGAAAGTGGCATAACGCCACTGTTTTGGCTATAGTGTTGTCATTTTAATTTTTTTTATTTTTTGGTTACTTATTTTTCGCAAAATATTTCTGTAGATTAAAAAAAGGAACTTTTTTTAATCCCTTTAAGTGGCAAAAGGCCATAATGTTTCTTTTCGTTGTTTCATATAATAGGAAGGAAATTCTTTTCGTGGCAAACGACCATTGTTTCCAAACTAATAAAAATAATAAAAAATAATTTTTTTTTAAAATGGCAAAAGGCCATTGATCGTAAAAAATTCATGCTTGTTTTAATTTTTTGGTGAATAAATTTTTTTTTTTTGGTTTTAAAATTTTTAGGTAGAAGTTATATACATATTTTGAATATTATACTTCATATTTTTTATGATAATTTTAGGCGAAAAGGCCAATTGATCGTAAAATCGTTCGTGAAATCAAGACATACCTAGTTATTATTAATTTTTATGATTTAGAGGAGAGGCTGAAACATTCTCTAAACCAAATATTTTTCACTTTAAATATAATTTTTAAGGTAATAAATTTTGTAAAATATTCAAATTAAGAACTATTGTAATAAGAGCGATAAATCCGCACAGATTACATTAAGATAATAGCGTATAATTGTAATATAAAACTCTTATAGTAATATAAGCAATATAATAAAATCTCCAATACTACAGCATCATTGTTATTATGTCAATATAGATGACTTATATAATTATATATATATAATCAATTCATATTAATAAAAGATACTCAAAATTACCAAAAACTGTAGTTAATTAAATTACTGAGACAATATATGAAAGTAAGTGGGTCAATCAAGTATCCGAATCATTAAAGAATAATCATATAATTGATAGTCCAACGACCTATATTAATTTAGGATATAAAATAAACTGCTATTTTAAATATTGCTGAATATTAAGACAGATTCAATTGATAAAATCATGAACTTTAGTGTATTTATTATAATCGACACAATTGTTCTATCTAAAAATATCTTTGGGTCATTATAATAAATCGCGCTTAGGAAACCAATATATTGTGTTATATGAACACAATTGTTCTATCTAAAATATATCTTGGCATGTTGCACCAAAATATTAAGTCCAATAAGTGATTTGTTTACACATTTATATAATTATATCATATTGTGGATAAGAGTAACGAGTCCTTGTATTTATACATAAATTAAATTGGATATGTTATTTCTTATTTTAATTTGAATAGTAAGAGATGATTACTGTCTCACAAGGGCGAAATTTTCGATTTTATTGTGCCTATTTAAATTTCATATATGATTTTATTATGTATAAAATAAAAGGAAATACATACATATTAGTGCCTAATTTTTTAGTTTTGCACAATGATTCTAGTGAATATGACTTCTAAGAATTTAGTCCATGAGTTGGCAAACCAAGACAAATTGAACGGTGACAATTATGATATTTGGCATAGAAAAATCCTCTATCTCCTTAATGAGAGGAAGTAATGAATACCTTGACAAAAACCATGGAGCCAACACCTAAGAATGAAGTCCTTGCTCAAGTCGGCAATTATGAGAAATGACAAAATAAGGATCTTAGTGTGATCTATACAATGTTAAGCTGCGTGCACAATTACCTTATTAAAGAGTTTGAGAATTTTACAACTGCTAAAGCTATATAGGAGCAACTTAAACTTAAATTTGGTGGCACCACCGCAACGAGGCTGAGGGCCCTGACTAATAGAATATGTAATATTCTGTTG